CCAACCCAGGAAAAAAAAAAAAAAAAAAAAGTAACATGAAAATTTGGGGCCATCTGGAAGGCTTTCTTATATTATATCTTTATATCAATATGTCAACTATCACTTAACATTGTGTTTCTCACCTTTTCCTTTGTGTTCCCATCAGTTTGACCATCTGTAGTACTATATTAAATGTTGCCAAGAAACAAGACAATAGCACAAACAGAATTAATACATATAGGCTGTGTTTGTAGATCATAGACAAAAAAAAAAAATTCCACAGGAAGTGTATAAAGGATAGGTTCACAGTGGTTTGAATAAAGTGGGGAGCACTGAGTCATCGTATGATTCACAGTGAGAAAGGCCTATTGAACACCAAGGAGCAGGTAGCACCATGGTCAGACTTTGAGTGGTGATGTTTGTTTCAGTAAAACTCCATCTGTGATCCAGGTTCGGTGGCTCAGCCTGTAATCCCAGCACTTTGGGAGGCTGAGGCGAGTGGATTGCCTGAGCCCGTGGGTTCGAGACCAGTCAGGGCAACTTGGCAAGACCTTGTCTCTACAGTAAATCAAAAAATAGCTGGGCATGGTAGCGCATGCCTGTGGTTCTGGCTACTTGGAAGGCTGAGATGGAAGGATCACCGGAGACCAGTGGGTCCACACTGGGGTGGCCGTGAGTGTGCCACTGCACTCCAGCGTGGGCGAGAGAGTGAGACTCTGACTCAAAGAAAAACAACAACAAAAACTCCATCTGTGCCATCCATGATTGTACAACTTTTCTGTATTTAAATTACAAATTTAAATTGACTATTTTTGATTGGTACATGCTTAGGTAAAATAATAATAAAAATGCTTTCATTCCATACTGGAGGATTGTAAGAAATTTTTACAGCAGTCCATCTCTACATTACTCAAGATTGAGAAACACTGGCCTACATAGTTATTAGATAGTCATGTGGGATGAGATTTCCAAACATGTACAAAGAAAAGCACATTAAAGATAACATAATTGAGCACTTACCCATCACTTATCTTGTACTTTGGTGTTGCTTCAGACGTGCTAACCTTGTCTCTTCAAATAGAAGAAAAGTTCCTGGTAGAAACTGAACACAGCATTAATACCTAATAAATATTTGTTGACTTGTTTGTTTTAAACTAACTATAGAACAAGGCTGCCTTTGACCCAGTTATTAGCTATGTGGATTACCAACATCTTTCAAATTATCAGTGAATAAATCTTAAGAACTGACTTTTATTTTGCAAGAATGCTTGTTTGTTTATTTTGCCACTATAGTTATTTGCAAGAACCTCCCCATCTACTTAATGCCTCCATTTGATGAGAGATTTCCAGTGAAAACTCTTCCTTCCCTGCTACTTGTTGTCCCTAACAAACCAATTTGAAGATTTTAAACCAGCTTTTAAAGTTGTCTTTACATTTAAACTTATAAAGTACCTCTTAATTTTAAAAAGGTGATGATGATCAGCAATCATGCCTTTACACACAAATGCCAACACATAGCAATACATTTTGTTTGAGGCTATCAATTAGATGACGTTTGTGAGATTTAGAAATGGAGTCCTTGTCCTTGATCTTTAATCTCAACACTAACTTGAACCATCTTCAAAAATGATAACGGGTCAACTGTCTTATCAGGACTTTTCCAATGATACCAAGCAATAATTGTTGCCTCTTGTCTTTCCAGGTTCTCAAACTGAGGAAATTTAACCTACTCTAGTCCTCTGCTGAAGTCATACTGTACACATCTACTTAATTAAAGATACATTCATTGAATAAAAGCAGGTCTCCTTCTGGTCTAGCTACTTCAGTCCCGCTTAAGAAAGAAAGAATAGTCAGATTTTTTAAGTAGGGGCGGCTACTGACTGGACTAGGTATTATTAGGTAGTCCAAGAGTGGCTCAAGCATGGACTAGAGAGTGACCGTGGAGTAGAATACCCATAAATGCTTTACTGATTGTGGCAGTATTATAGTCAGCTATACCAATAGTTATAATCTCTTTTGAGAATTTATACTTATTTTTTAAAAGTGTGTGAAGAATGTGCAAGATAACAGCAAATAGGCAGAGTGAACCACAGATACCATGAGCTAGAGAACGCATAGACCACAAGAAAAGATCTTTTTATAGAACAAGCGGTTCTTAAACTTAAACATGTGTCAGAATCACCTGGAAGGTTTGTTAAATCACAGACTTCTGGACCACCCTTCCAGAGTTTCTGATTCAGTACTCGGAGCAGGGCCTGG